CATTACCGAAAACGTATTGCGTATAGACGAACTGGCACCGCTATCATCACTTGTCATTTGTGTTCAGTTTTGCAGTGATGTCGGCCATGAGACGCTTTGAAACTTGCTTGCCCCAGCTTTCAAAAGTCGAGAATTAGTTGCCTTAGTGAAAGAAGGGGGCATTTCCACATATTTTGCAAGCTTTGTTTGACAACACAGCGATCAAAGATGTCCTTACCATTATTCTTTTCTAAGCCACCACGGTCTTCGCCAATCACGCTTTACTGGAGACGGCTGCCAACTAATCATCTTTGTTTGTTCTTGTGCACGATGCTGCCGTTATCTTATGATCACAATTTTGGCGGAACTGAATGCCGTGAGATCCTTTTGTTAAGTACACATGCTCGCATTCATACGACTGTGAATAACGGAATTTCATTCGCGTTTATCCAAGAGGACAGCGTTGCCTAATCAGGCGAACTGGTATGAAGCCGTGTTGCGCTGGAGACCAGCTGACGCGGGGCAAGCTGTGTTCCTTTCGTTGAAATGAAATGGGTCGCCATTTGATGAGCCCAGAATATCAGGCGCCGTCTCCTGTCTCTGTTCGCGAAGTCACTGTTTTGGTTCATGAGCCAAGTGAACTGCGCAGCTGACCCGTACCTGATGTCAGAACAATGACGCGACACTCTGTGTTCAAAGCCGACGCAGAGCGGACGTGTCGGGATGCAATTAAACGCCTCTCCGCTCACCCATCGTTCGATGCGCTCGGCGGAGCGTTTTGTGTTTTCGGGACATCAATGGCTTACGATGATTGGACAAACTCTGTCAATGTCAGGCTTATTTTACGTTGAGGTTCGTCGGGAGCCACTAACATGATAAACAGCTTACGTGGGACAAACACATTATCATAACCGTACTTTACAGAAACCCCTGCCTCCCCGATCAATTTCATGAAGCTCACCCAACTCAGGAGGTGAGGAACCGTGGTGTTGTTTCATGATGACCATTCCCTAAGCCCCTTTCCAGCGTACCGATCATGGATTGACGTTTACCTGTAAACGGTTATTTAGTGACAATGCACCCCTGGGATGTCATGCTGTATCATGCGCGCTCTTGCTCCATCGTGGAGGCGGTCGAGCTTAAGGTTATATGGCGTGTTAGGTGTTCATATTTTGATGTTGTAACTTGGAACACGACGAGAAATCCGTTCATGCTGGCTGTAGCGACCTACTAAGCGCATAGGATAAAAGTGGGATGCGAGCCTTACCAATGGCTTATGTCGGTAAGATGTGACGGTCAATCTTCTGAACTCACAAACTGACGAGCATCATGCCTCCATCTATTTTCTCTCCAGGCAATTGCCCTGATTCCGGTGAGGGTTTTATTGCAGGGCCGGATTCGCAGCTCTCCCGTGGGAGTTGTTTCCATGCCTGTGGACGTTTCCCACGTGAGCTACGCCGGAGCGGGTCAGGTCAGGGTCGGAGTGGTGCCGGCAGAACCGCGGCTGCCGTGCGCTGGCCGTCTCAGGGGCGCCACCGTTCCCAGGCGCTTCTCCTGAGGCCAATTAGCTGCATTGCGAGGGGGCAGGGAAGCGGTGCGTCGGTAGAACCTCCGCCAGCGCCGGCCACCTGACCCCGCCTCATCCAATTACATCTGCCGCCGCTTCGTAGCCGCCGGCGTTGAAAGAACTCGTCAATTTGCTTAGGCCCAGAGCAGCTGTGATAGAAGCCTCGCCGTCTCGCAAAGTCGAGCGGACCGCGTCAATAGACAGCGTCTTTCGAGCAGAAAGTCAGCCCAACACGCGCGGGTCGTCAGCGGTGGCGCCGCCTGCGTGCGGCTGGATGACCGGATGCCTTCTGTTGTCATGACGGCATATAATACACCGCCGAAGCCAGCGCGCGTCTGCCTGCCGCTGCGTGGCGGAGCTGGCCCGAGCTCACGTCCGTCGGCCCGGCGGACCGACCAGCGGGACTGACAGCGGTCCGGCCGGCGCGGCCCGGTCGCAGCCGGCGGGGCGCCGACTCATCTGGTCATCGATTCGACGCGGCCCATCGACGTCGGCTCGTCACCGGACGGCGCTGTCTGACGTGCGGCCGCGTGATTTTGCTAATCAGCAGGCCATATTGGCCCGAGGTTATTGCGGGCGGGCGCTGATTAGCCGTCGGACGCAACGCCGGCCGCGCTGGGAGCCGGTCCGGCGCGTGGGTGCGCGCGGGACATCCGGGACGCCGCGCCGGCACCCCCCGACCTCCTGGACGCCGGCCGCGCTTGTAGCCCGGGCCGGCGTGTGGGTGCGCGCGGGACATCCGGGACTCCGCGCCGGCACCCCCGACCTCCGGGGTGTCGCGCCGGCACCCGCCAGATCTCCTGGGTGTTGCGCCGGCACCCGCCTGATCTCCAGGGTGTCGCGCCGGCACCCGCCAGACCTCCAGGGTGTCGCGCCGGCACCCGCCAGATCTCCAGGGTGTCGCGCCGGCACCCGCCTGACCTCCAGGGTGTCGTGCCGGCACCCGCCTGACCTCCAGGGTGTCGCGCCGGCACCCGCCAGACCGGGATGCCGGAACCGTCTGACCACGCAGCCTGTTGACCGCCGTGGTGGCCGCCACCTGTAGCACACGAGGCGTTACAGGTGTTGATGTCGTATCTGAGGCTGCTTCGGCGGCTGACGCAGCGTGGCACTGTCCAAGTGCTTACGGTACTTCTGTGAACGTTGATGATTATAGGAGAGGAATACAGACGTAGTTGCTTGCGGTTTACAAGCGGGCAAGTAATTTTGGGAACGTGACAACGAATCTATATTTAAATAAAGCGGTTGACCACCACGCTTCAGTCCAAATCCAGCATTTCTGCACCAATCAGGTAGAAAGACAAATTAGTCTACGTACCATTTTATTTGTCATCAATTAACCAACACGCGCTATAAATACACACTAAAAGCAATCGTTCAGCAGACATTCAAAGAGGCATAGTTACATTCACAGTTCACTACACGTAGTTACCAGGACATCGCGGCCATTGGAACCACTCATGCCTATCGCTATTCGAGGGCGGGTTTCACTTCAGAGCCCTTGCTCATACATCGGTCAATTGCCCAAGGCGTCAGCGGAGGTCACGTCGAAGCGACATGTATTGCCCGCGAGCAAGCGCGTCACTGATCACGTGTTCCTCATGGTAACTAGCGTTTCACAATACCTTACACATTTGGATGCAGCACAAATTAACGTAAATATACAATATTTCGGGCGTCACGACCGCTTCACCAGGACAGCGTGAACGGCTCTGCTGCCGCTGCTGCCGCCAGAAATCTGTTCCGTCATGCGAGACCAGTGCGCGGAACCTGAAGTCCTTCCGCGACTTCGCACGTTAAATGACGTAAGCACGTACAGGCTCGTGTCCGTCAGAACAACAGGCCCGATGAAATGCGATGCAGCTCATCTGTCGGACCTCGCGGCAGCAGCGACAGCGTTGGCGGAAATACGAGTCATGGCGACTGTTGCGAAAGACTACATTCGTTCACTGCCAGCAGCTGCCTTCATCCTGGCAGTTCATGTATCGTCAAATGAACTGACGATGTTATGGCTGCTCAAGCGTGACGTTATATTGCTATTTCCGATTTGCTCCTTCCGTGTTTTTTTGTGGATGGATTTGTGTTATGAAGGTAGCATACAACTATTGGGTTAAGAAATTGCCTGCGCTGAAGGATTTCGGGGCTTTGAAGCTATTGTAACTTTTCATGGTGCATACATGCCTCATTCTTACTATAAAATTGAGCTTTACCAGAAGAAAAATGCTGAACGGTAAGCGCACCGTGAAACTTTTCGTCATATATGTCCGTCCACCATTCCGTAAAACAGTTACGGTTTTCCAACCGTAAAGGTAAGAATGTTTGCCGCCGTTATACCACAAGTTCAACGAAACGGGACTTCACTGGCGACCAAGTCACTCCCGCTAGTCACGTACAGAGCTGTTCCCGGAACCACATTCTACAAGATGGCCCAGCACACAGCGAGCCCCGTCCCAACGACGCAGCAGAGAGCCAAGACAACGTCGCGGAGCCCGGCAAGGATCCCTTGTGGTCCGCGGCACTGAGCAGCGCCAGCTCAGGCCTGCGCGCTCAGCGGCACCGGCTCCGAATGCCGGTCCAGGTAACTGTGGTAAGCTTGTCCGGCCGCACGGAGGGCGGTGAGCGCGGCGGTGAGCGTGCGCGTTCACTGTGACTGAGCTGGGATGAGCTTCTCTGGCGCCCTCACAGACGGAGGCGCAGAGCACGTGAAACCGACGCACGTGCAGTGCCATTCGGCGACACCGACACATGCACAGTGTCATTCGGCGACACCGACAAACGTGCAGTGTCATTCAGTGATACCGATGCAGGCGCAGTGCCATCTGACGCCGACGCACACGTAGTGTCATCTGACACCGACGCACACAGTGTCATCGGAAACCGACACACACACACACATACACACACACACGCAGTGTCATCTGACGCCGACGCACGCACAGTGTCATCTGACACCGACGCATGCACAGTGTCATCTGACGCCGACGTACGCGCAGTGACGGCATTCGATGCCACCCGAACGACGAAACGCTCCGTCTGGCGGCCCTCGGCAGCCGGCCCGGCGGCAGGCTCTGGGTCAAGGCCGATGTCTGGTGCTACACTGCAGTGGTATCACGCAGGTTTGACGAGTGGGGCACGCAGCCGGCGGGGACGGGCCATGCCACGTGACGACAGGGAGGAGGAGCGTGGGAACCGGCGGGTTACTCCACTGGCGGGGATAGCCACGCCTGACTCGGCCCCTTCTTGTTTTGTTCCACTTCCTTCGCAAACTCTCTCTCTCTCTCTCTCTCTCTCTCTCTCTCTCTCTCTCTCTCTCTCTCTCTCTCTCTCTCTCTCTCTCTCTCTCTCTCTCTCTCTCTCTCTCTCTCTCTCTCTCTCTCTCTCTCTCTCTCTCTCTCTCTCTCTCTCTCTCTCTCTCCCTCTCTGCTCCTCTCTCCCTCTTTCTCTCTCTCTCTGCTTCTCTCTTTCTCTCCCTCACCCTCTCTCCTCTCCCTCCCTCTCCTCTCTCGCTCTCCCCCTCTCTCTGTTGATGTCAGTTCCCCATCGCTCCATCCCGCTCCCGCCGCCAGTCACCCGACAGGCGGCCGACCCGGCGCCCGAGCCGGCTACCGCTCTTCGGGGCGCCCGAGCCCGCCGTCTAGCCGAAGTTCTCGAAATGGTGGATGAAGTACGGCTGCTTGCGGCCCTTGTTGACGTCGTCGCACGCGTTGCTGACCGACTTTGTGAGCGGTCGCGGCCCGCAGCTGAACACGCCGATCTTGGACACCTGGAAGGGCGGAAGCGGCCTCGTCAGCGCGTCATCTCACCGGAGGGGGGGAGGGGAAGGGAGGGGAGGCAGAGGCAATCCACTGCCGTCACACGAACACGTGACATCATACGACGGCAACCAACTATTGAGCCGCAGTAGGGATCGGTCTTCAAGTCGACGCAAATATTTCTACTGCAGACCGGCCCAAAGACTAGATTAAGAGACTGTGGCGTACAGGGGGTCTTAAGTTAGGATTCCAAGTGATAAATGCCTAAAAAAGGGCTCTGCTCAAATAACGAAAACCCAGCGCGAATTGCTCCATGTTCCACTTCTGCCCCTGCCTGCGCTCTATAACCGCATCTGTTGCCATACCACGGGGTGGTAGAGGCCCTAACGTTGTCACACAGCTGTGTGAATGCATTTTTGCATCGTACGCCCCATAATTATCACCATAAATCACATGATGTGGTTTCTGTTTACCACTTGTAACCTTTCATGCACCAGCTCATTCTAAGCCTCGGAGCACAGCCACGTACATAGTTGTGCTTCTTCTGGATGAACTTGAAGAAGGACGACATGTCGGGACGGCCGAAGTGGTTGACTGCTTTCAGACCGGTGAACATGGATCTGTTTGACAGGCGCTGGAAGTGGTTCTCGCAGATGTACTGCGAAAGAGGCATCCGTTGGCACAGACAGGGACGTCTCGCAAGACCAGCACGAGTGTCGTGATCATATCACCTTAGCCAGAGTTCTGTCTGTGAACTTGACGCTTACGTGCGCTCGTGGTTAACCTAACAGCAAACGTCTGTCAAGAGAAGTAAGGAGATGTAAAACGCTGTATTTCAGAAACGAAACGCACACCAGATCGGTGGCTACTGCCTTCTTGCTGACAACACTATATTAGACGCTTTATTTTTCTGCCGCATCATTTTTAAACTGAAAGCGTCCCGAATAAGGAAAAACGTAACCTGTTATCAGTAAAAATAACAAAGTTTCAGCTTTCTTACCAACATAGTGGTCCGAAGGTCGAACTTGTGGAAGAACTGCGTGATGAAGATGTGCATCTCCAGGACTTGAGTGACGTCCTTTTTCTCTACGTCTCGGAGCACATCGATAAACCACTCGAAGCTCTTGTGGGAAGGACATATCCAAAGGAAGTACACCTGCAACATGTATCCAAGATAATCAGTGTCATGTGCTAGCCACCAGATCGTGTGGCTATAACCCCTTGCTTAGTCTACGGTTCTGCGATGACGAAGCAAATTATTCCCGGCCTGGGACAGTCGCCCCCCTTCCCACGTACGGGGCAGCTGCCCCTCCCACTACTAGCAGCGACCGCCTCCGCCCTGGCAGCTGTAGCCGCCCACGTGCCGGAGCGGCACGAGCCCCCACCTTCTTGCAAGAGACGCCCGAGTAGCGGTTGGTGGACGTGCCGAACACCAGGTCGTTGAGGATGGAGGCGTACGGGGTGACGCCGATGCCGCCGCCCACCATCACGGCGACCTCGAACTTGTACCAATCCTGGTTGCCGCCGCCAAACGGCCCCTCCAGACGGATCTGGGGGAGGGTCGGGCTGCCGACTGTTCTGGTGCCGCGCGGCGGAGCCAAACACGGTCCGCGCAATCGCAAGATGGGCAAAACACGAAGATTCCTGGGCTCTACTGTGCGCGCTGCTGGCTAAAGACTGCTCGTAAACAAATGACGACACGTCTAAAGCATTTCGCCACAGTCAGCAACCAGCAAGAGACGTAATTTTACCCGTTGTATGCCTTCGATACCTTTCCACGCTTAGTAAGTAGTTAAACATTAGCATTATGCTTTCGTCACACACCAAACATTACCGAGATGGCTGATACATGCCAAACTACAACCAGGAGACACAGCACAGCCGCTGTCGGGGTCTCACCCTCGGCGTTTGTGCGTCCTCCTCGAGTACGTAGTTGAGGGGATCGAAGAAGTTCCTCAGCTTCCACGTCCAGGGTCCCTGAGCCTTGATGTGGCAGGAGAGGAAGTTCTCGTGCGGCGCCGAGGTCAGGGTGAAGCTGTGGTACTCATCGCCCACCGACGTGCAGGCCAGCCGCACCCACTCGCCTGAAACGAACGCCTGTGTTGCCGCACGTGTGTTTACCGATGTGGTAGTCTGTGGCCGCCTCGGACTGGGAGAAGTTCGTATGGCGTGGCGTGGTCGTCGCGGTGTTGTGGACTTCGATGATTTATGACTGCGCTGGCGGAGATATAGCCAGGGGCTTCCCACGAAAGACTCCTACGTAAGATAAGTAATCTACATGTGGCCGTCAGTGGCGAAAACATGTGTGAAAAGGAATACACATTCGTGGTGATTTATCGAGACGTGTAACTCCAAGGTCAGCAGCTTCTCTATGGCAGGGACCGGGGCCAGTGAAAGTTGTTTGCGCTGGTTAGTGGGACCCGGACCTCTTGATCAGGCGGAATGTAAACACCGCGAGCGCAGGGCACATGCGGTCCGCGTTAAACACGACGGAACACTCCCCCGGCCTCTGAGACCGTTTCACATGCTGTGTGGACGGCCAGGCCAAGCATCGTGGGAAAACGTTGCCAGTCACCCTATAAAACAATTTCCCACGGCGAATCCAGCACAACGTCCATTAGCCGCAAACAGGGGTGCTCGCACATAGAAGTCCCGTGCGCACGTACCTCCCATCTTACCAAATTTATGACAGGTACTAAGATGTACTTAATTGAATGTTGGCATTCAGTACGAGGTAGACAGGCTACCATAAATGGAGGATATATCGTGCTATTTTAGGAAATGGAAGAAATTTTGCCCGTCTGCGTTGCGATAAGTTCGGTTTTTAGTGAAAGTGCATCGAGTTGGACCCCCCCCCCCCACACCTTGTAATGTCCTGCGCACGCCCCTGGCCACAAACATCGTCGTCACCATTATCACCGGACATCACACACCGTCGTCACCATATATCACCAGGCATCACACGCCGTCCCCTGATATTCTGCTGGCTACACGGGATTACGATGCCTGCTGACATCGACCCCTGCACTCACCCGAGTGGTATTGGAAGTTGGGCGGCCGGTAGAACTTCACTCGCAACACATCAGATGGCAGCAGCTCCGTCTCAATGATGTCCAGCTCCATGTATTTGGTTCGCAGGCTGATGATCCTGTCAAAGGTTGTAGACAACCGCCGGGCCGACGAAGAACATCCAGAACCTGGAACAACAACACCGTGCCCGTCCCTGAGCTTACAGCTTTGCGGAACGGTATCAGGAGAGCTGTTTCTCGCATTGCTCCTGATGACGATGAATAAACACGCGTTAATAAACACACACGAAATGTATATATATATATATATATATATATATATATATATATATATATATATATATATATATATGTGTGTGTGTGTGTGTGTGTGTGTGTGTGTGTGTGTGTGTGTGTGTGCACATATGCCTGTTTACATGCCGATATATGTAAATATGTGTATATACTTGCGTGTTTACATCTAGAAATACACACACACACACACACACACACACACACACATACACACACATATATATATATATATATATATATATATATATATATATATATATATATATATATATATATGTCTGCATTGATGGCGTCCGTTATTTTCACTTTATAAGACATTTTAGGGTTCATGGGTACCATTACACGTGAATGATTGGAACTTCAGAACAAGAAGCATTCCCTTAAAAAATCGGAGACTCCAAGCCACAGAATATTTCCGTGCACACTGGTGCAGAAGTGTCAGTGATCAACATCAGTCCTCGGCACGACAAGACGCCCTCACGGAGGCAGCAGTTCCGTACCTGGGTGCTCCAGTCAGGCGGGCCAGTCCGTGCACCAGGGACAAGATGTACAGCAGGTAGTATAGCGTGTGTGAGTACCAGAAATATTTGTAAGCCCGTTTCCTGACGAGCGGATGAGCAAAGATGAATATGATCATCACGATGATGTACAGAATGACGCCAGTCACTCCTGAAATAGCGAGAGAGGAAACAAAACATTAGGGGCAAATCCGGTTATGCCGATCATCTGCTGGTAGATATTTTGAATGGATTCAGCTGAGTTCCGATAAAATATGGTAAGACATCTGAAATAGCTTTCTCTTAATGGCAAAAAAGAGACGGACTATGGGACGACACCAAGGCAGGGGAAGCGTGGCGTACTGAATGTACATCATGATGCTGCTGGAATTACAGCTTTATTACCCACTATTTCGATGACCACAACGCCCATACCAAATACCGCGGAATTGTTGTCATATCGGTTGCACACGCACCGGTAAGTGTGCAGAAGAGCCAGTAGCCGATGCCAGGCCTGGCGTCGCTCTGGAACGTCATCTCCGTCATGAGACAGCGCAGGTTGTCCAAACTCTGGGTGGAGACGTGGTAGAAGTTCACCAGGTGGCCGACAGAGTGCAGCACCGTGAAAAAGAGCGCCGTGCATGCGACGATCTTATGGAACTGGATGTGAGAGTCGATGGGGATGTACTGCTGAATGGCGTAGTTCTTCATCATGGTCAGGATGTTCCTGGACATGGTCAGCAGCAGCAGGGAGTAGCAGAAAGAGAGGGAGGCGGCGGCACCGCGCGTGATGGAGATGCCCTACCCCCATCACGTGACGCAGGTCCGTGTGCTCGGCCAAAAACGAATAGTCTGCAACAGGAGAACTTGTGTTACGCGCCTCCTTGCAGCGTTGTAGCATGCTAAGGGTACGCACAAGGTAGCAAAACGTACGGTGAATATACGATTGTCACATTGCTGCTCCTTTGTGACATAGAAAACCCATTGCTTCTGTTGACCCAAAACAAGCTAAGCGGCGAAGCATCACCACACCGGCTAAGCATGGTGAATGGCAGATAAGTAAACAGGGAGAAGGTCTAATAATGCTGCGTACTAAGCGAATACGCTTATCACGATTTCCCAACCTATCACAGCTTGCAGAGGCTACTCTTCAATCTCGCTTTTTGCGAAAGTAACTCAGCTCCACACAATGGTAAGTGCTGACAATGGTACCTCGATGACAAATGCGAATAATCAAATAGCACCATAAATTACACTTACGTGCAAACCGCTCAACAAACAATGCTACGGTAATGACATAGAAGAGGAAGAGGTAGAAGATGTTCTGCCGGTTCTCCTCCAGGAAGGTCACCCAGCCGTCCCACCTCTTCCAGAACCAGTGCTCCCGTCTCTCATTAGACGAGTCCATCAGGAAGCTAGGCATCCTGAGGGCATGACAAACGGAATTGTCGGCTTTGCTGCTCGGAAAACGAGTGTTGCGTGCGTTCGCCCCAATCAGGAATGCTGATGGACCTGTTTGTTCAGATTACGGCATTCAGGCCCTTATAAAGCACGCGACTTACAGTCCCATCGATGCAAGTCATCCCAAGGCAAATTAGCCGGGCAACTTAGCTCGGCGTAACTCTTCAGGTGTTCGTGATCGCCATCATCATCGGCCGTGAGAAATATTCATGTTGCATAAGATACTTCGAGCACAAAAAATACACGCTTGGTTAGGAACCCAAACATACATCAAGAGTTGTTAGCTTGCCGGCACTTAAGTTCAGTACAAGGCGAGTCTAGGCGGCCGGAACTAATCGGTCGTGAAGCACGGCAACTCCCGGGTAGAGTCACAAAAGGCACTTTTCCTTGACATGTGACCGACTATGTGACAATGGATGGCCTCAGGAATACATTCCATCCTAGAAACATGCTTGTTACGAAGACACTGACTCCAACATCCCGGTAGGGTAATGCCGGTTCAATATATGTACGATATATGACAGATGTAGAAAAGGGTAGATCACCTTGCTATGAGTTTGATTTACCTGGCAATATTTGTCGATGTGTCAAGGAAGTTTTGTTTTGCGCCCTTGCAATCCAGTCCAATCGCCACTAGGTCACCCTTGAACTCCTTCATCAAGAGCTTAAAGTCGTCGTACGTCATGACGTCCTTGTCCTCCAGCCCGGCCGACAGGAACATGCCGTCGATGAGTTCATCGACTTGGGCGTCCGTCAGACTGTTGGTCTTGGCAATCTCGACCAAGGAGCGCAACATCTCGGACAGCTCGTCCTTGTCGATGGTGCCGTTGCGGTCGTTATCGCACATGTCGAAAATTATGCGCAGCTTGTTGTCGATGGTGCCGCGCGAGAACAGCTCCACGGTTTCGAGGAACTCCTGGAAGCTGATCTGCCCGTCGCCATCCTTGTCCACCACGTTGAACATCTTCTGCACGAACACCGAGTCGGCCTTCATGCCGAGCGCGCTGGCAAATTCACGCTTCGTGAGTGACGTGCGCATCACCATGATGATGTCGTTGGACACCTCCACCTTCTTCTCTCCCGGCTTCCTGCCGAACGACAGCGAATAGGCTTCGCGGAAGAAGTGCTCTAGCCGCTTCTGGCGACGCTCCTTGGTGTCGGCATTCTGCAGCATCTGCTCCTTGTAGGTGGACACCGTCTCTATCGACTTGTTGTGACCAGCCAGGAACTGCTCCAGCTTCGCCAGGAAGCGCTTGCGTAGGTTAACCGAGTCGAAGTCGAGCACGACGTCATGGTCGCCGGGCACGCGGACCAGGCACATGGGCTTGCCACGCACGTCGTCCGTCACCTCCACCACCACCGTCTCCACGCTGCCGAAGCGGGCCGTGCGCAGCTTGATACCCTTTCTGTTGACCGTGTGGAAGGCCACGTCCGGGCCGAACTTGATCTTGACGTTGCGCCGGTGGTTCTGGTGCAGCCACTCGGTGACGAACATCTTGTCCGTGGACCTGCCGTTGTTGTTCTCCTCCTGCTTCATGCGGTAGCGGCGGCGCGCCCTGTTCTGCAGCTTGACCACGCCGTAGGCGGCTCCCATGCACAGCAGCGGTACGGCAGCCAGGAAGATGCAGGCGTAGATGTACGTTACCTCGTTGCCCTGCGACAGACGGACAGTCAGAGCGGCGGGCTCTGCTGGAGAAACCAGCTTTTGCCATATGCCGGCACAAAAAGACACGGCCTTGTTGTACGCTGCTTAAATATTGCATGTACAAGAAACTGGACAAATACTGAACGCCATTCTGCATATTAATTATCTAAGTCGTGTCCCAAGTTTCCAAATACGAAAGCGTTCGCATCAAAATGCCTCCCATTAACCGCAATGCATCGTATTTCAATTCTTAACCTAAAATGCATCGTTTACTCATTTTGATTTGCTCCATCTTGTCACAGGAGCCAAAACCCGTCAGTTCGCTGGCAAGTGACGTCCTGCGCGTCACCTGGAAATAGTCGTGTCCGCCCAGCAGCCGGCACGGCTCCATCTTGCTGGCGTTGAGCTGCATTGGCTGCGGACACGGGTCGTCGGCCAAGTGGAAGAAGACGGTCTCCTGGAGGTCCCCGCTGCCGATGTCCGTGGTGGCCCGGATGATGTCGTAGAGGCGCACCCTCTTGACTGCCTCCACCTCCGTCTCCGTGAAGATGCTGTGGTGTGTGCAAGGCACGGTTAGGCAGGTTCGTCTTCAGCGTCCCAAATGCCAATACAGCAGAAATGTAGCTTCACTCGCGCGTGTGAGGATAATGCAGGCATGACAAATTTACTCACTTTTTGTGCATCAGTAGCCCATGTGTAGGCAGGAACGTTACTCCGCCGACTTATATGCGACGCACCTAGTTGGTGAAGGTGATTCGCAATATTCACACAGGTCGGTCGACCTGCTGATTTGACCCACCGAGCCCGGCCAACCGATGCCCAGATCTACATTCACTCGGCCCCCGATTACGGTACGTTCCCCCTCCACCCATGGCACTCCCGCCCATTCCCCGCTCACCCGTTCTCGGTGTTCTCGAACCAGAACCGGTCGGCGTCACGAAGTCTCTGGAACTGCTCCTTGATGATGGCACGGAAGAGCTGGCCAGGCCCGTCCCGGCTTTCCAGCATGCCCCCCACGTAGAGGTCAATGTTCATCATCTCGTCTCCGTAGGCGTCCATCAGCTTCTTGAATAGCTCGGGCCGCTCGCTGGCCAGCTCCGGGTTCACCTCGGTCAGATTCTTGATCATCGGCAGCTGCCGTGGGAAAGGCAAGGCAGGTGTCAGTGGCGCGAGACACTGGGAACGTTCGTGACGACCGCTCTTGCCAAGTGACGACAGCGCTCCGGTACTCCAGCGCGGAACGACACTCGCTATCCTCATTCATTCATCTCTCACAGGCATACTTGCTTTCGGTCATTCAAATTTCCGCGCGGAAGAAATGCCTTTAGAGGATCTATTGACCATCCCATTTGTCGCATGTGTGTAAATGTTGTGAATAAGCTCATGACATAGATTTCACTAACACATCATTGTCTGAAATTTCATTTTGATTCCATTCCCTGAAATGCCAGCAGATCGTCTTGAAGAAGATCGAGATGCTGATTTCTTTTCCCATCATCATAAGATGCGGGACAGGACATGACTCTTGTCCGGGCCATTTTGCGGAGAGTTGTTTGTATTTGTAATGACTGCGTAACGTGACCGATGGGACATAAAGCACGTTCTGCATAACTGGTAGAATGAAATTGAAAAACAAGGCACTTACACCACAACAGTAGTTTTGCAAGCCATCACTGCACCAACGACGGACTCAAAGACACAAGGGCTCATGTAACGCACCCGCAGATAAGAAAATCGACTCCAGCATCCCTAAATGTCTTCAAGTAGAGTAGAGGACGCCAAGAACAGAGTACCGTTCCAGGGTGAACCTTTCTGCCCCATCGGGGGGGGGGGGGATGAGGGGGTATGGGACGCGGGCTGACCTTGAAGCACTTGCGGACGGTGTTGTAGTCGGGCAGGCCGTTGTCCCGCCCGCGCATGATGTTGAGCGCGCCCAGGTCGCGGCGCGAGAACTCCATCGGTCCGAACAGCTTGTCGCGCACGTCCGAGCACAGCACGGCGTCCTCGCGCTCGGCGATCTGCGACGCCATGCCCATCAGCAGCTCCTCCACCGTGCTGTTCTCCAGCACGTCCTGCCGGCGGCGGAGGGGGGCAGCGGTCACGAGGGCGGACGCAGGCTGGCAGAGGCAGCGTCAACGCAGCCGGCGAGGTCACGGACACCTGGCGAGCTGACAGCACGTCAGGAGGGAGGGAAGCGGTGCAGGCCCAGGCTAACGCACTGTGAAGCTAGTTTGCGTTGAAAAGTCACCTGGGCCATCACGAGACTTTTGAATGCTTGCATCCCTGAGTTTAAACGGCACAGTTAATGAATGTCGTTATTTTTGCCTAGATCCATATCCTTGCAAAGAAACGTCTCGCTGAAACCAAACATCGAGGGATATTTAAAAGATTGCGTGCAATTTGTGCTGTCAGTTGGATGAATTAACACTCATAAATCCGCTTTTTATTAGCGTAACACCAAGATAAGTGCATGATCAAACTATCTCATTCATCAAGTTGGCTATCCTCAAAGAAACAACTCAGTTTTTTTCATGCTCTGCGCAGTTTGTGTTGAGGATCAAAATGAGCGTCATAACATAAGCTCCTTAGATATGTGTCGATGGGGATGGGATAAATTCCTTAGATATGTATAGACCGTAGGACGCATGAAAATTGGCATTCAAATATCCTCGTCATTTATTTCACACAGACCAACTGCCGGCTTTAACATTGCACATCCGCGTGAGACTCGATTACCCGGATTTTAGTAGAACAGTCGATCCAATGTATCCTGTGCGGTCAGATGTTGGAAGCACCCAGAGGTGGCGAATGCGCCATAAAGGATACAAGGCAGCGCCGCCTTTTGATGTGCATGGTTGACGAGCATAATTCCAACACATTTCACTTAAAACATATTCGCTTCGGCAACTCCATCATCTAAGCATATTGGGCATTCTCCATCTGAAACGGTAGCCTGACACGTCTCGACGTAGATATCTTTCAACATTTTCTAGCACGGGTATAGAAACATTGGCCATGAATGTGGCGATCAGTTGGGAGCGTAACAGTCGAGCGGTTAGCGCCTTGGCTGCCACGTGGAGCCGCGGCGAGGAGTCATCTTACAGAAGTGGTTACTCCCTCACGCACCCTGTCCTACCCGACTTCGCCTCTCTTCCGGGGGTGGGTGGGTGGGTTTTATTGCTTATTACGTATTACTCGTCCGTTTCTCGGGTGCCTCGGTCAAGATTGGCCAGCAGGAGGAGGAGCCGCTGGCCGGGCCGGCCGGTCGCGACTCGTCCGGCGGCGAGGGGCCTGACGGCCACAAGGTGCTCATAGAGCCCATGGTTGAGCGCAAGGTCACCACCTTCGGCACGCCCGAGGCTCAGTGGAAGGCCCAGTTTTTTATATTCTACAAAATTCGGGAGGAAGGGTATCGATGCGCTGGCATCGAGGACGTTCGCCTGCCGGTGGAGATGACCGTGCCCAGCGCCCAGGTGGGTCGCATCATCGGCAAGAAGGGCCAGAAAGTGCGCGAGCCGCAGCGCTCCACCGGCACCGTGATAAAGCTGCCGCAGCAGCCTGAGGACGGCCTGGCGCCAGAGGAGGACGGTCGTGTACATGGTGGGGCCGTTCTACTCGGCGCAGTTGGCGCAGCGGCGGATTCGGGCGCTCGTGTCGCAGGGCGCGCCGCCGGCCGGCCGGCCGCCACCGCCGCGCGCCGCCGCCGGTTCGCCCGACGCTCCGCCGCCGCCGCCGCCGCCGCTCGTGTGAGCGGCGCCCCCGCCGCCGCCGCCGCCACCGCCCGCTTCTGACCAACCGCCTGGACCCAACCGCTGCCCGACCTTCTCTCAGCCATTCGTCTCCGCGCCCCGCTCTCTCTGGAGGTGACGCCTTGAAAACGCACGTGGTAACAGCGATCTCTCCGTCGTTTTCGGATGGTTTTCCCCAGATATATCAAAATGTTGCATTAAGATGTGAGATATTAAGTTTGAAATAATACAAAAAGCAAGTAACTTAGATAAGCCAGCGGTAATAGCCTTATTGCTCGCAAACAAAACAGGATAGTGGAGATATGGGCAGCTCATCTTTATCCCCATTGTCCTGGATTTTCCATGAGGAATAAGGCTTTTATTGCTATCTTACCTATTTGCATAATGTTCCTCGTAAAAGTGCTTACCAACTTAAGCAAGGAACTTCACTCAAAACTTCCCATCCGTCCGTCCCAATAGCCCGGTTAGAGCGACCGCCTGCCGATCTTCCCATCCGCGGCGGGGTGGGTTCGAGTCGCTCTAGGAACTCGCTATCGCCCGCCCCTGGCAGATGCGGCCTCCGCCCAGAGGCATCTGACAGAGGCAGCGGTCGCGCTTAAGGTCAGATGGCGTCAGAGGCGGGACGCTCCGTGCCGAGCTTCGCGGGACGATAAAATTTCGCCACCACGTTTCGCCGTTCATCTGGAATTGCACGATCAGATGGTAGAGGTCAGGGCTCACACAGCGAGCACTGCTCAGCGTGAGGCCTGATCCCAGCAATCCATCTATTCAAAAGGTAAGGATGAAACCTTTGAAAACCGTGCTACCTCACCAGCTTATTGTGATACGGTCTCGTCAAAAGTGTCGGCACGGCGTATGTGTGGAGACCTTTGCTCCTCGAAGCGGCCCTGTCTCTGAGAGATCTGCACCATCTTGTCTGGTGATTAAGGAAGCATGGAGCTCGTCTTGTCTGGTGATTACGAAAACATGGAGAGGTTATACAATGTGCATGATGGACATCACTGTTCTTGTCTGGAGGCAAGAGAGGGCAAAACCACAAAAGGTGAGCATTAAACCTATATTAATTTACCGCAAAAAGTGGAGTATTATCAACTCAAATAATTTGTAAGTGTCGCCAATAGTGTGGTGGGATCTTAGGTCGAGGTCGAGTCCGGTCAAGTTACGTTATCAAACATTTTACTGTACATAACTTCCTTTCACCAAACATGAATATTGAATCTCAATGTAATCTAGGGCGAAGATCATGAAAGGTTGCGAAATGAGTTTCGGTGATATCATCTTACCCTTTATAAGTCATAAGGTATTCGTGGACTGGGGTAAGTTTCATTCTGTTACTACATGAAGAGCTATGCAGAGACGACGAAACCACAATTTGAAATCATTTGGCCTGACATTTCAGCCGTACAAGACGGCGTAACTAAGCCCGAAAAGCTCACAGAGAGCACACAGATGTTGCGGTGGTTGGAGAAACTTCCCTGTAATATGTACGTCAAATTCATTCAAAACCCTATGTTACCTATTTTTGTGTGATAGGTTCAGGTCCGTTACCTGGAATTTCGGGTTTAATTTACGCTAAAATGTACATAAAATCGGACGATCCTGCGCACTCCCGCAGGCCTTGAATAATTTGACAAAACTCGACGTTTCAAGCTACGCTCAAGCTCACTCGTGACCACGGGCAAAACTTGGGACATTGAGGTTCGTCAATATAGCAAATGATTTCTTCATAATGTCCGTTCAGCCAATACCTCCTGATATACGGAGGGTCGGAAAAGCTTTAAGCTCCAAACCAAACCAACGTGCCATGGGGCACTTTGTAGCCATCCCTCTGAATTGATAGTGGTTTTGAAACCCACCTGCTAGTGGTCTCACCACGACAGGAGTAAAAATGCTCACTGAATTTAAAGACCGCAATGTTGCAACAATACGCTAGTTCTATCACCACCCCACTAGCACTAGCACGTCCCTAACCGTGAACTTCTCAATCACAACCACGCCGAAGCCGAACATACATCGCGCGGTTAATTGTCATGGCTCGGGCCGATCATATCATTCGCCTGCCCGTCAGTCCGTGATTGAGAGCCGGCGGGGTCGCGGTCATCGCTGTACAAGCCAGCACTCCAACGCCGGTCGTTTGGGGCTGGTCAATCACCATCGATTCTCAGAGCTGCGGTGGAAACCCTGCCGTCGGAGATGCCATCCGTTCCACCGCCATATGAGCCGTGTGAGATCGATTGTTTTTCTCGGTAAGGTCATACGAGATAGCACCAGCTAGCCTGCGTGACGGCTACAGGGAGACTGGCTATTTCACGTGCTGATAAGCCGAAACATCAGCGGAGACAGCCTTAAAAGATTGTGGTAACTGTAAGACAGCTCAGGAAAGGTCACATTGATTTAGTTTCTCTCAAGTCGTGTTTAAACCAGGATGCAGTAATTCCCATCCAAGGCCTTTTTAACTGCTGCTAAGACCCCATGGTGAAACTCATCCTTTTCCTCAAAATATGCTCTTATCATCTGTCATGCTAAACCTCCTCTTGCACCGACGTGACTATAGAAGTGGTTGCGGGGGAGAAACAGATGATATATATATATATATAATATATATATATATGTATATACATATACATATATAAATATGTAAGTATATATACTAATGACGTGTACATGCATATACATATATGCATATATATATATATATATATATATATATATATATATATATATTTCATTCTTGTTTCTAATCTATACTGTGGGCACTACGGTAATCTTATCCGATATTCTGCTGACTTCAGCCATGCTCAGGAGCGCGCTTCAAAACGTAGAATCTCATTTAACATCTAGGCTGTCGCTTTTGATATAAAGAGCATCGCATGTTAGCACGGATGCAGGAGATATGCCAGCTTGAGTATGGACACACAAACTTTCTTTACAAGATATAACACATGGTCACCGAACACGACAGCGATGAACACTTTTAACATCACGGCAATCCAGTATTTGAAGCGTCCACTAGCATAATTGCAATCCAAACCTTCTTCAGGAAGACGCGTTACAGTCAAGTAATCGCATCTGCATTTGCTTTTTATAGCCGCAACAAAAAATGAGCAGAAGCGTCACCACGGGCAGATTTGTGGGCTAGCTTAACCCCAATCACAAAAGTGGGACTCACGGTCGATGCACGTCCGGCTAGTTTGTGGCTGGGGCGTGGAGGCGGACTTGGTGTAAGAGAGCGGTTCAGTATGACACGAATGGTACGGAAATAGTTCAAATACGCCAAGAACGGCGAAAACGGGACTTTCCGACTCTTGAAGTGAACTAGCATTCAAATGATGTGCCACATCTGAACCAGCGTACCGCCGGCTCGAAGACTGCAACGTCCGAAAAATCCGGCAGGTTTTCCTACCAAAAGTGCAGCTTTGCACAGCAGTCAGGCAAGCTGGAATTGTACATGTGTACCTATCTGCAAACACGTGAGTATTTTACGCTTCAATTGTGATATGCATTGAGGGGAAAAGGCCACTTTCAACATAACTTGAGTCAGCATTACAGCTGGTGTTAGACGCTAACTCTCACGCAGCGTATCGTCAGAGACTGTAACTCCTGCCATCAGCGTATGATTTTCACCTTATGAAAACTACAGTGTGGCTGTGGAAAACCGTTGCAACAGTCCTCACAACGCGTTGGGGAGATGTAAAAACCTGGATATAGTTCCTTCAACGCACCTCGGATACCTACAGGCTTGAGAATGGGCGATGAGCAAAAATTTAATTAGACCCAACCTAGATTACGTATGTTTCAAAGTTCGGTAGGCTAATAAAGTCATGAGTGTGCCAGCACCATGCAATTCACGATCGCTTTCACCGTTCTCGCAAAACTGACCATGCCACATACTTTTGAATCAAAGGCATGCCAATGGAACTATTCTATTCGTAATCTTCCAAATGCTAATGGGGACTTCACCCAGTTTTTTGCGTACGTCTTTGTTTAACCTTACAATTGGTCAGTAAGTCATTTGTCTGGCTCTGCTCTTGCTGCATCTAATTAGCGTGCTTACCTCCAAAAATGTCAGCACTACAAAGAGCGCACCTCATAAGTCAGTATCGCGGCAGTGGTCGCGGATTACGGGAAAATGCCAAGGACAGAGTCGTCCAGAATGCCTGGTTCCCACATCATGTTGCCCAAGAGCACCCTACAACTGGACACGCCACCGATGGCTTAATAGAAAGCTGACACAGGTGTGATCTAGGGGTGATCTACGATACAAAACATGATCCAGTGGATGAGGAATATTCGCACACCTGATGTTCTGGTAAGGCGTGTGAAAAACGTCGCCGCATGACTGACGGTGGCCTCCCGGCCAGCCCACATCCCATCCCAGGCCTTGACCTACCGGGATGCGTCTTCGGTCGCAGCGCTGGCGTATCTTTGTCGTTGGCTGGGCATACTTAACTCGAGAATACAACAATACTCGAGCAAGGACTATGACAGACAGATAAGGCGAAATTAAGTGCAACAGCACGGCTCCGCATTTCATGCTGGGCAAATACAGTACCACGTCGTCGTGCAAGCATGTTAAGATATTGGCAAAATGGGTCCAAGTGGAAGTCCCATGTATATATATATATATATATATATATATTTATTTATTTATGTATATTTATATATACATATATGTATATGCATTTATATCTTTTTGATAGCAGATACCTCTTCGATATCAGTGCTATCTGTAATCAAGCGCTATCCATACGCTGTAGGTCACATGTGCTTCCATAGTATGTAAAATTTGAAAATACGATCCCAAAAACTCCCGTTCAATACAAACAAGCTGATTGCGATATTAATTGTTTTCACCCTCTGCATCATATTTACCGATCGAACGAACAATACAAGTGTGTTTTTACCCCTGGGTTGATACTCTTGAATATACCAAGAATGTGAACCCTGGGAGGAGGGTTTCTGGGTTTCTCTGTATACGTTTCTGGGTTTTTCTGTACACGTTTTAAGAAACTGTAGTTCACAACCTGCACTAAATTTAAACTTCAGACTGGTGAAATCAGCTCAGCATATCTTGTGATTGCAGGGGGATCAAACTGACCCCAACGCAAAGTCCAAAATATAATGGGCTGTTACTGCTCCCAGGATCTTATCCTGACCTTGGCGATGTTTTCCTTGCATTGTACGCCCCGAGGGGCCCAGACTGTCTGTGTACGCAATGCTTTCGACAACGGCCTAAAGTGAGGTAGCTTAACTTTTCCCATTGTCACACCGCTGTGCAACAAGTTTCTTGTATATATATATATATATATATATATATATATATATATATATTCTGTGTTGTTACGATAAACAAATGACGGCGTGAAGATTCCTGCTTAACAAAGTCAAACGTAGGTACAATGCACTTGTCACGCTAATCGTCGAAAGTTGACGAGACGTAGTGCATGCATTGATCTGGAAGAAAAGATCGCTCCCCTCCCTTTCACGCCTCAAAAGATTTCAGTCAGTTTTCCGCACCACACACTGCTCACTGGCAACGCCCGACCCGTTGGGTGTGCGGCGGCGAGCCCTGCACCCGGGCCGATGGCACCTCCGCCAGCCGGCGGCGCGTCCGGCCGCCCGCCACGCGTCCGACCCCCGGGCGCGCGCGCGCGCCACGTACTCACGTTCGAGTCCCACCAGGTGGCGCAGAGCCGGAGCGCCAGGTCACCGCTCACCGTCCGCTTGTAGTTGCACTGGCTGTCCCGGCGGTACAGGCCGGGCGGGATCATCGAGTGGCCGAACCTGCGGGTCACGGCGGCTAGGTCAGCGCGCCGCCTCTCCGGGAGCTGGCGACGGACGGATGGCTGACTGCTTGTAGGAAAGCGGCCGAGCACCAAGTGATTACTTGCTAACGCTTCCGGCAAGACAACACATGAACACCATGCAGGGAAAGACAAGTCCATTCAGGCAGATGTCTTCAGACGGGAAGGTTCCTCACTGAACCTGAACCGTGCCCTACACGAGAGCATTCCTTTGCATGTGACACCGTAGTTTTTCCCGACAATTTTACTCTCTTATGTAGGACTTATTCCGCGTTGGGTTTGAGAATCCCTGATTCGTGATGCGTTTTTAGATATCATCCGTCACAATAACATAACGACGCCAGTACTCATTGTCCACATTGGACATCGTGGTGAAGTGAATTTGACTATTTTATTGCATATATATATATATATATATATATATATATATATATATATATATATATATATATATATATATATATATGTATCTACATCTATATATATATATATATATATTGTGTGTGTGTGTGTGTGTGTGTGTGTGTGTGTGTGTGTGTGTGTGCGTGTGTGTGTGTGTGTGTGTGTGTGTGTGTGTGTGTGTGTGTGTGTGTGTGTGTGTGTGTGTGTGTGTGTGTGTGTGTGTGTGTGTGTGTGTGTGTGTGTGTGTGTGTGTGTGTGTGTGTGTGTGTGTGTGTTTAATATATACATATTACGTATAATACCTGTTGACTCACATACAAACAAGCCAGGTTTATTCGAGCGGTACGGTTTTGCGCTAGGGCGTATTTCGCCACTGGTCGATATAGATTCGCAGCTATATCGATTCCATCAACGGCGTGACGCGGGTGGTATAGCGGTATGGGTCTGACCTGAAGGCGGCCGACTGGAACACGTGGCTGATGCCCGGGTGGACGTCCGGCCTGTAGCCCTTGTAGGGGTCCACGGTGTCGCCCAGGAAGGCCGGCAGGTACTCGTACATGATGACGTTCTGCGGAGACAAACGCCAGTCAACAAAGGCGTCGCTGGCACGTCATTACATACGACAATGTATGCGGAGTCGTGACCAGGACTTCCAGTCGGCCTGTCGTCAGTGCACTGATAAAGCCCAGCTGAGGGACAGGATAAGAGGCAGATTTCTCAGCTGCCCAGCTTTAGAGTACACAAGTGAGTGCTGTTGTTTTCTGTGGTTGAACGGATCAAACCCCGTTCCCCTCTCTCCACCTTTTCGACGTCCCTTCTGGCCTAGTTGGTACGATGAGTACGTCACATTAATTAGAGCGCACCCCACCCACTTGACGTCATTGCAATCATGATGAACGGACGAGGGTCGCGGAAAAACCCAGATGCACGCCATGACACCGAGATGTAACGTAGCAGTACTCCCGCCCTGCCGCTCGGCAGGCGTGCAACCACCTGCGCGCCAGAAATAGCTCAGCTGCGGAACACAGGACGTGATCGCCTTCATAACGGTGTATTGGGCGGGATCGGAGGCTGCTAGTTTAGCCTGATGAGAGAAACTCGGAATCCAGTCAGCTCGACGAGCATCCATTATCTCGCATCCGCTGAAACGTTTTACTATTTCCAGTCATTGGATGGGGACTATTACGCCATCAGGTCAAGCGTTTTAGGGCTCTGCTAGCCGACGCGCGGGCACCGCTCGGCTGCCTGCGGCGGTCCGGACCGCAGCTGGCGCCAGTGGCACTTGATTAGCCCAATTGTCGCATTGATGGACGCGGTGACAAAGCTATGGCACAATTTTATTCTGCGCCAGCTTCACTTTAGGCCCTCTTTGTCGTGCCGACATACATGCCGATCACGTTATGCTCCTCAGAGCATCAACATCGTTGTTCTAGTCAATCACAGAAAAGTAATGAATCCTTTCATCGACTTTAATGCCAGGGTGATTTTGCCACGCGCGCGCCGGCGAGTTCTTCGCTCGACAGTTCTCGAACCCCGCTAACTTCCGGTCGCGACCCCGCACGGGGCCAAGACGCTTTCCGGCTGCAGGCACTCGGGCTGATGACGAGAACCACTGGAGAGTCGGGCTGAAGCCGGCTCTGCCGCCAGCACCATCTGTCTGATCGATCTCAGCAGCGAACAAAGCGGCGGTTGCTATCCAAAAGGTCAAGGGGTTTGCTGATGACCTCTGACAGATCATCTCAGGCCCTGGCTCGTGAGTTGGTTTCAAAGTTCCCGGGATTTCTGGACAACAGGCTGCCGTTGCTGTTTGATTAAATCCACAGAAGGTTGGTTATGTTTAAAGGGAATGTTTCACCTTTTACCATATTGAAGCAGGCATCAGATATGACGGCATAATCTCACTTCTAACTGTTCGTATACTCCTTGATGGGAAAGACTAGTTTAGACAGCACAGTTTCTCTGCTTAGTGAATGGGCTCCTCAATACATCATTGTTTGATTACGTCATCGTACCTAGCACAGCATTGATTGAGAGGTAATTGACGGCTGCTGCGTTTGGAAATTGTACACACGAACGTCAGATATGAACGACTCGACAGCTATATTTGTCTTGGTATTGACTGCCGTAAGGCTAATGGAATGGCAGAATTTGAATGACGGTCTTATGGAGCAATGGATGCCTGGGTGACTCTGAAATAGTCTCCCAGAGAAATGCTGCTCATCTTCGCAGGCGTGTGGCTAAGAAACTAGAGGGGTTTAGTTCTTAAGAAGTGCACGGCTGTGAGTTGCACAAAATGAGCCTGAAGATTATTGCTTTAGTTTAAAACCCCATACAAATGTAGAACACTCCCTTTAAAGGGGAAAGAAGGCATTCACGCAAAAAGAAAAGTGGGCACACTTACGTCTGCGTGACAAATTATCTATGTAGATTTTGTATAAATGCAGTGCCATTCATTGTTTGGTTGTCAGCTGTTGGGACCAGTTTGCTCGCTGAGCACGGATTGCGCGATGAACGCTGATCTCACCAACGGAGAATGCCGTCTTACGGGATATTTTCACTTAACCTGACCGCCAAGTAGAACCGGGTATTTTCAAGGCCTTACAGAGGGTTTCGAAACGGTCGTCCGCTGCTAAAGCTTTCCTCGTTGTCGGGGAAAAACGACGCAGTTAATGGGAATGGACAATCAATGCGCAGGAATTGAACCTGCTTGGTGATGGGTCTCGAACCCACTGCGACTGCCCCGCCGTATGTTGGGGCTGGTGATCCGACCATTGTGCCACCGGGACCGAGAAACGCACGAGAAACGCACAACAATTGTCTGGTGCGAAGAACCAATCCGCATATAGAGCGCTGATTTATTATTGATATAAAGTCTAGTCTGATACTGAGATATCAGAGGTCTGAAATCAGAAGTCTGATATTAAAGCTGAGAGTCGAAGTAATTGAGGTGAGAAATTGTCGTTACTGTAAGAGATGGTGAGAAACATCGCTGCCAGGGCGCGCCCATCTCACCCTGGACGCGGCGGCAGGGCGATGTGAGCACTGAACGCGCTAGTGAGCAAAAACCTATCTTCCGAACCGCCAGCGCAAGGAGAAGGTTCGGGTTATTGCCGGGTCTGCGGTCGGCAGGCGGCGAGCGTCGCAAGGATGATTAGGCCATTGCTGGAATTTGTTGCAGCAGTGGAGATTCCCGGGAGAGGAGAGGTCTGCACCAAACCATGTCATTCTGGCATTTTGTATGCCTAGCTATTTTTCACACTCAACCTTGAGAAGGCTGGCCACAGAGTATGCCTTTGGAGTTACGTCCCTGACCGCTGGGATGGAAGACCGCTGCAAATGATCGCTTACGTGGGAAAGTACACTCCAAGACGTAAAGACAAACTGTGGGATAGAGAGTAATATAAATTCCTGGGTCTGTCATTCCCACGCTGCGAAAGCCAGGCCTGCTATAATGCGATGCGTTTCTGCACCAGCCCGACAAGCACCAGACACCCTGTATTCCGAACGCACCCTGTGTTCCCACGCAGACGAAGGACCCCTAGGACGCGGCGCACGAGATTTCTGCGCGGCCGAGTCCGGCACATGCGCCTGGGGACGAGTCACGAGACCTGCACGGACCTGGCGCCTGGGGACGAGTCCCGAGACCTGCACAGACCTGGCGCCTGGGGACGAGTCCCGAGACCTGCACGGACCTGGCGTCTGGGGACGAGTCCCGAGACCTGCACGGACCTGGCGCCTGGGGACGAGTCCCGAGACCTGCACGGACCTGACGCCTGGGGACGAGTCACGAGACCTGCACGGACCTGCAGTGTGGCGATGACGATGCGTCGGGCTCGCTGGAACACCTCCTCGTCACTCCAGTCCGGGTGCTCCTCCTGCGCACGCAGGGCCACCTTGTTGTGCCAGCGGAAGAAGAGGATGCCGAACGAGAGCAGCGCCGGGTTCTGATTGGTCCGCTCGTCTCCCAGCACTGAAACGGGCACGTGGTGATTCTGATTGGTACCTTCGGCGCCCGACACTGCAGAGACGCGTGGTGAGTGGTTAGCTGGACTGTGGGCTTACGGAGGAATCTCAAGCAGACCAGTGGAGATCAGTCTTGTCCGTGGCCAGCATTGAATCCCACTGTTACCTGCTTCGAAAGTGAGCGTCGTGGCCCTAGACTGCATGCTGAACTGCGTATTCTCGGGTAGACTAACTTCGCCGGATAAGCATGATGGCGCAAGAGCCAGCAATATTTGAGATATTATTGAGCTGAGACATAGCTCACATGAACATATATTATTCTGACCAGCTGGTTTTACTAAATCGAACTTTCCCGGACAATCCCTATGCCGTCCTCAGCTTTGATCAATGATGGCCCGGCACAAGGTTATCAGCCTAGATTTGATTATACCGGGACCGATCATATCATTCCGGCCGGATCACTACATAAAATGTATTTTTTGAACCACCTTGTTTTCCCTAACGCAGCCTTGATGAATAGTAAGACAATGTTATGGCAGTGATATGACTAATATGGCTTTCGTGACGGCACTCGTCACTGTCACTCGCTAACGTTGACACATTGACACTCCTGACTGGCGAAGCCTGGTGAATGGACAAAGATTATCCCGACAGCTCCCGTTCAATAAAAACAACCTGGCTGAATAACACATTTTGACCGTAGCCGGCAACTCTAACCGCCCAGTGATGTGCTGTGACGTCAGAGATAAGCAGCGGAACATCCGTTTTGGACGTCCTGATGATGCACTGCAAGCAATGCATCGGACGTGGACATGACCATGGCTCAGATACTCGGAGCCCCGAGCAATTTGCGGCTAGACGTGCATGCGATGAATGCTGATGATGCGCCGCACTCTGGGTTAATTGGCAGGTGCATCCCACACAGAGGTGATAAAAACTGCCAGTTTGATGGCGCTCGGGAAGGATGAGGCGATTGAATATCGTAACTCTTACCGAACAGCCGGCGCATTATCAGATCTTACGCCACGCGAGAGGTAAACGCAAGGTTGTATTACGACCAGCGCTGAAAAAGAATTAAAGTTTATGCCGGGGACGAAAGAACAGAGAGCAGGCTTGATGCCCTAGCCGTCTTTACGGCATCTTGACGCTGGGAATTGGAGAACGGAAGCCCGAGATGAAGACATCGTGCTGACAAGATCACAGGGGGTTCTGATGGTACGCGCGGTTATCTCCGTGCCGCCTCTGGTCACCAAATGACGGGTTGGGCCAATAAACTCAACCTCCCCACACAGCACGATGCCGTGGGTTTGTTTGCGCTGCGCTCATTGGCATTGTCAGAAAATAAAAGGGCGCGATATAGTGCATCAGTTATGCCCCCGTATTGACTTAAGCTGCTCACACACGCATCCACCAATGCAGTTTATGTTTTGATGCGTACGTCGGCGGAGCCATGGCTAGCTAAAATTTGAGGACCTCAGACAAATTCACAGCTTATTTGACAATCCCTTGCCAAACTTAAGACCTATTAAAATGTCATCCAGTCACGAGCATTTAAATCTGAAACAACTCGTCGTCTTAACCGTAATGTCTTCATGCGAGTCATCACTATTTCGACGAGTCCCTCCTCCCCCACCCCTCTATCTCCCAACAAGATAAGCTCTGAGGGAAAAACTTCCGCCTTTAACAGACGCGCAGCCGCCTGCAAGGCTTTCTGTAGCAGCATAGGCAACAGCTATCGACTGTGTACGCCATTTGGCTCATTTCCAAGGCGACGTTTGAGGACCGCCGTCGGCGAGGTGTGGGTCTGCACAGCTACTGCCGGGAATGCAGGGACCTTGGCCTAGGTGAAAGGCATCTAGGTTTATAACCCAGTAGGCATATGTAGCAAATTTAGTGTACTCTGCAGCAAATTAACTCGCTTATGGCCCATGGACTCTAAACGTGACCAGTTTAGAACGAATTACACGCTGTACTTACAGGTAGGCTTACGACATCGATATAAGTGAGTCAAGAACAAGCCTTTACCCTGTTCACCTCGACGCAAGTATGGCAATCTGAGTTTCCCTCGCATTGTCCAAGTGCATGATAGCGATTAACATTCCGTTTAAGTATGCCTGATTGCTTGATACTGATCATCCTGAGGCACGAGACATCAAGCCTCATGATTGGATGGCAGGGGCAGATGAGCCGCGTGCAGAGCACGGCACGGAAATACGCCTCTCCAATCCGAGCCTCGCCAAAGACCAAATGAAAACACATGCATGCACCTGCAATGTCAATGTTTGGGTTTTGGGTTCAGAAGGAACACACAGGCCCGCCTTGGGGCAGACTCAGAACCCAAACACGCGATGCAAACCGTTCGGATGGTTCAGCACGAGTATGGCCTCGACATCAGCTTATGGGCATTGCCACACTAACGAACAGCACGTCCCACCCAATGCTCAATGCCCTCCGTCCCATCATGTCACCGTATCGATTCCGGCAGAACTTTCTTTCAATGCACATGTGGTCCGCTTAATCACCAAGAGCCATAAACACAAAGCCAAACAATGCCCCAGCGATGCTGCGGCAACAGCGTGCTGTTGAGTCTCGTCGCAAGGGTGTGAATGTCGTGACCGGCGAGGCATTGGACTTGTCAGCGTCCCGTGTTCAATTGCCGCACCGCTCGTAACCCACCGCCGTGGAGTACTCCCACAGCGTATCCCCTGCCGTGAACACCGACACAGAGGCAGTGACGCCGAAAAACGGGGCAGCTGTTCACGGCGGTAAATACCAGCCTCGTGCAGCATCTGACGTGTTGTTGCATGTTTCATTTTGCACGATAAGGAATGCGGAAAACGCCCCACATAGCTCACCGACGCCTGGGAAGTTCATGATTAACACAGCACGTCTTGACGACGGCCACTCTGGCCAGAGGCTGGCCATGACCGCGTCAGACGGCCACATCTAGCGTCATGCACCAAGGCGAGTGATAGATTTCACTGCGCCGCTCCCTGTTATCGATGGGAGCGCGAGCTGCACGGGCGGCGTGTGAGACCTCGGCGGGCCGGGCCCTGGCCCAGTGCGCCCTGTGGCGCCGGTTTACGGCCACGCCGCCCTCGAGTCGGGCCCAGGCCTCGGCCGCGGCCGCCGGCTGCGCCAATCAGTGTGGATTGGTGGCGGGCCGGCTGGCCGGGCGCGCCCACCGGCGCGCGCGTCTGGGGTCGCCTCTGCGGCCGCGCAGGGGCGCCCCCGACCGGCCAACTGGGGCAAGGTCGGGGCCGAGTGGGGCGGCCCTCGCCGGCGACGACCCAGTGGCACTCGGCGCTGCTGGACAGCGGCTCGTCCCTCGGCCAGGCACGCCCATCAGGGCCGTGGAGAGGTTGCGGAGAACGCTGCGGAAGTGTTGAATGCAGTGTGGTAGATGTGGGTTCTGCAGGTGCTGCTTCGTTAACACAGCCCGTCGATAAATCAGTCTGAGCGAGCGGAATAAAAGGCGACGATGCTATCGCATTCATATCTCGCATCCAGTTGTATGCATCTAACAGGCTCAACCGGTATCAGCTGATAAGACACGAGTTGCAGTGATAAGGCGGTATCGATCACTGGGCACCAGTGTTCTGGCTCGCAAGAGACAGCATCATGGGCACCAGTGTTCTGGCTCGCAAGAGACAGCATCATGGGCACCAGTGTTCTGGCTCGCAAGAGACAGCATAATGGGCACCAGTGTTCTGGCTCGCAAGAGACAGCATCATGGGCACCAGTGTTCTGGCTCGCAAGAGACAGCATCATGGGCACCAGTGCTTCTGGCTCGCAAGAGACAGCATCACTGGTGCCCAGTGTTCTGGCTCGCATGAGACAGCATCATGACGCAAGGCCGCAGGCTCCGGTTAAGAGCCATGGAGCTTTCCAAGCGTGACCGGATGGGATAGGCATACCAGAACAGCACGGTGCAGTGCATATATATATATATATATATATATATATATATATATATATATATATATATATATATATAACTATGAGCCCAGTAGTAAGCACAATAACAGGCATTTTAGCAATCAGTTTTTGGGAGTACGTACAAGCGAGCTGGACTGATCGACCGGTGGATCTGTGAGTGCCCTATAGATGAGACGAAGAGGTGAGATAGAAAACATGATATTAGTGGGCCGCTGTCACCACATGGATAACACGCCGCTTGCTGTACAGTGACGGAAGTTCTTATGTAGTGAGCCTAATGCTTTTTGTTGTTGTACTTTTCGGGCGAACTGTATTGTTTCAGAGGGGCTAAACTTACTTCGTGACATGGGTCATAATGTCAGTGGATGAGAAACTTGCAACATATATTTCGCAATATGAGCCGTTTGCATGTATATCTCTTCGAGTATGTGCCGTTGATAAAAAATGTATCACTCCAACATAACATGCAATAGAGCCATAACTACTTGCAGGAAGCTTCGGCCAAGGTTTCGTCTTCGTCAGGCAATTTTCAATTCATTTGTTTCAATGCAGACCTAATTAATCAACGGTGATAACGAGCCAACTACTTCGCCTCTCGTTATGAGACTGAAACAAATGTACACCCGCTCCTCAAATTAATTCTGCTTCAGTTACTTGCAGTTCCCACGACCGTTCTATCTGATCAGTTTCTTGCAGATCACTGCCAATTTCGATTTGCCGTACGGTCTTCTCTGTTTGTAATGCATAGTTGACGCTCAACCGCTTGTGCGCGCCTTAGTCAGCACATCGTGTCACAAGGCGCCAGAGGAAAGCGCCGGTGCCTTCATGTCGGTCGTCTATCTGCAACTTTCATCTGCCGCATGCAGTTGTGGAACAGCAACGGCGGACCATTAATTGCGGACGCCGCGCGGGGTGAGGTGTCTGGCGGACTCGGCTGGCTGTGTGGTCGGGTGCGTGACCGAGCCCGCACGGGCCCGGTGCCCTGCCGCGCCCCAGAGCGAGGGCGCAGGCGCGGTGGCCCGTCCCCTCTCACCGCCCGCGGCCGCAGCAGAGGCGAGCCACTCCAAGTGTCCTCGAAATTCCGCGGGGAACGAGGGCCTAATGAGATCCAGCCTTCTTTTAGAAAGTGAGTGACGAACCCAACAGCGAGGCACGCTGTCTGTCTTTGTCAGCTGGGGGCGACCGTGTTGTTTTCGGCAACGGGTCTCGTGCCTCCCGCTGGCTTTTTACGAGCATTGATTGGCCGCAATCAACGGAAATGTTCGCACGATTTGGTTCCATGATGATTAAGAAAAATGGATCCGTGTGGAGATAATTGTGTGGTGGAGAACACTAATTATGTAATACCGTTACATGGCCCATGTCCACACGTAAACGAGGTGGTGTTAAATCTAGACCCTACCTTCCTCACTTGTCCTTGCCTTCCTGAGTTCCTAACCAGTCGAAGCCGTTTATTGCACTGCGCTATAAATGCTTATTATCTCAGCTGCCCGGATGAAATAGTACAGCTGCCTTAGAGGAGTTGTTGAACAACAACCCTGATTAAGTCCGATGCACTGTCTCAATGAGACAATGCGTCGTCCAGCCACACAAACAATAGAGACATGCCATAGGTACTCACAGTACATTCGCTCGGGCGAGAGCGTTTTGAACAGGTGGGGACTGGGCTTGTTCATGATGGGTACGCGCTCTTTGTTGCGTGGCGGCATGCCATTCTCGTCGGTGCGCAGCGTGCCGTTGCTGAAGGACCGCATGGTGTTGACCCAGGCCTCGCTGGTACTGTAGACGAAGCTGCCATCAATCCAGCTGGTCTTCGAGTTGATCTGTCGGGAGTGAGATCACAGGTAAGCCACCGGCCGGCCTAGCTGGAGAGTCGTTCTTTGCCCAACTGCTTATCCGCGCTGCCACACTCGCCTGTTGTAAGCCTGTGGCTTAGGGAGGGGGAGGGGAGGGGCTACTTACCTTACGCGCCTTAAGCGTCTTACTAGGCGTAGGGTTGGGAGGGAGCTTTGTCTCCCGTGTTCAAATCAAAACCAAGGAAGGTGGAGCGTTGCAGGAAAGCTTAACGTTGGATTAACCTGTTTTCTACAAACAGACTGTTCTTTAAAGCCCCTCTCCACCCACATTTTGTCATAAAAAACGAAAAATTAATTTCTGTTTATCACTTATCTAAATATGGAAGGACTGCTCTAGACTGCACAATTATCTGTTTAGTAAATATACTCCCCAATGCGTCATGGCTTGATTACGTACTTGATCGCAGCTTGCACAACAATGATTGAGAGCCAATTGACGGCCGTTATATCTGGAAATCACACCATAAACGCCAGATATGAACGCCTCCACAATCATATTTTTTGGCCTTGATCGCCGCATGGCTTATGAAATGGCAAGATTTGAATGACATTATTATGACGTCGTGAATGCTAAGTTGACTTAGAAACAGTCTCCCCGATATGCCTAGTCCCATTTTCGCGTGTAGCCGTGTATAGACGTGTAGACGTGTAGCTCAGAAACTAGAGGGACTTCGGTCTTAAGAGGGGCATGGTTGTAAACACCACCGAAGGTTTTTCAAGATTTTTAAATGTCAATTCCACCAATTCGGCTCAAAACCCCATATAAATGTGAAGCACTCGTTTAATGATCAAGTGTGGAGCATGCTAGTAAGGCGTCTGTGACATCCATAGCCTACGTTATCAGTAACATGGTAGCTGGCCGTGTGGAGACTCGAGGGAAAGCAAATACATTGAAGATATCGCTCTTACGCACGCCAAAATCGTACAACACACAGTAGAGCGACATAGGGAGACGTCACCTCCACTGGATCTCTGCTCTCCCACTCAAAACGGACGGCTCAATCCACCACTGACTAACCACGCGCTGACAGCGCCATTTCACCTGATCTGGCTCATATCGGAGGGTATCATGACCTCGTTATTACCCACTTCGTTTCTTGACACCGAGTTGGCAGAGGTCACGTGACCTCAAAGGCCAGCGATCTCCATTATCGCAGCGCGGTGCGCGTCTGCTCTCTCGCCTCGCGCCTCGCCAATGAGCTAAGCTGCGGTGGGACAGCTGTACCGCACCAAAAGTGGCTCGATAAGGGCAAGCGTTCTATTAGGAGAGCGCTTCCAAAAGATGCATGCATTTCCATTATTGCCATTAACGTAAGTGTTTCACTAACACCCAGTTTAAGCATCACCTCTGCCAACGCATGACGGGCAACGTCTTGAGCGCGACGAAAACAAGCTTCGTTACGTGAAGCGTCTGAAACCCAAACGCTCACCTGTTCCCTGGGCATGTTTGGACTCTGGCCAGTCGTTGCGTCATAGCCGGCCCGGTAGAAGGGCATGTACTTCTCTCCACTGCAGTCGGCGTCATACATCTCGTCACACTTTTCTACGTTGATCTTGTGCATTTCTATCGGACAGCCCATCTCTGACGCCATCAAGATTTCAGACGACACCATTTGTCCTGCGGAACATAAACTCCGTGACAAAAGAGGCATACAGGTGTAAGGTTCGGTGCCGGTGTTCGTGTTACATGCTGGGGTCACTCGTGCCGGCCACTAATCACGCTGGGGGTTAATTAGCAGAGTTCATCGCCGGGGTCGCAGTTTGCATGATGAGGGCATGACCATGAGGGATTTTGCACCTCGATTTCAAGAGCAAAACTGGTTTTGCGTGATCCCGTTCACGGCCCAGCATGTGGACATGAGCTGTTTGGCATGCTCGGAGAGACTATGCCATTACGAGCGCCTGCAAAACACGGCTTTAACTCGCTAGTGCCTTGTTCGTATGAGGCCATACCTTTCCGATTGAATAAAGACGTTTCAGTCATCTGTTTAGGAGCATTACCATTCTGCTCTATCGCAGTGATGGACATTCTGTCCGCCGTGTAGACAGTTTCGCCCTATTTTATGCACTCACATCCTTTTACACCAGCAACCGCTGCAAGGTAACCGCCCGGTTTGCAAATACACTGACCTGCTTATTCCACTGCCTCCAAAGCCAGCCAAACTCTGCGGCCCAGCACCACGGGACCGCGCACCGGCGCTGCAGAAATGTGTTGGAACGCCCGGCCCACGCGCCGTTTTCCCTCACACCCCACCCGAAAAGCACGCTAGACAAGTCGCCGGCAGGCGGTCGCCGGGCTCACCGAAGAAGACCAGCAACGCCGTGCGGTTCTTGCGCGACGGCATGCCGTCCTTGCCCTTCATCAGGATCCTGCTGAGCTTGCGGGGGCTGGGCCGGTCCTGGCCGGCCATCATGTACACGCCGTCTGCGTAGGACGGCGGCGTCTTCCGCGTCAGTCGCTGCTCTGCAAAAGGTCAAGGTCAGGTCAGGCTGGGGACCGGACCGGGCTGCGTGCGGCAGTCCTGCTTGCCGGCAAAATGTCAGAGATTCGAAGGCACGTCTAGGCTTATCAGGAACGGAACGCTTTTGGCCTTCCCGAACCACGTTGTGTAACAAAGCAAGGCTTGTGGTAAACTGGCATCGGTCTATTAGACCATGTGTTCAGGCCATGAGACATGCATATTGGGGTATGTGTGATACCCATGTATCGAGAATATATGACATCGCCGAGCCGGTGGATATACGGCACGTGCCATGTGATTCAGAAGCGGTGCCACACCTCAGTGTCGCCATATCCCGCACAGCTCACCGGAAACCCGTCTGCACGTCACTCAGAGGTGCAGCAGTAGGGGACAGCGGGAGGGATGGGGGGGGGGGGGGGGGGGGCCGGGGGCAGTGCTCCGGGACTTAGAAAAATCTTCATTAATCCTTCACCATTCCATGGAAAAACGAGAACACAACACTCCCTTGCCTACCCAGAACTTGTGGAAAGTGCGTTCATCTCCCGTTGTTTTGCAGGGACCAGAGCAGACGTAAACATGACCGAAGGTTTAGCTGGACTCCGCATCAAGCGGTCACCCAGGCACGCTGTCATTTCTACGTGTTTACTGGCCTACGCCTATAAAACAACTTTTTACATCGCAATGCCAACTACGATAATTCAAGGATAAATATCAAGCGATGTGGCCACTCCCTACCACGGTCATGCACGTGTCCGTTACGCAACACCCACATCCTTGAAGCGCAGCTCCCTGTTCATGCCAGGCCGCATTCTTCACCAGCAGCGCCTCAGTGGGAGTCGCCTTGTCAACGCTGCCAGGTAGTGAGGTCTGTCAAATTAGCAGCGTTTCGCACGCTTAGGCGCCTGGGCGTTCCAGCGCCGCCCACTTAGACAAGCGACGGAGTAAACAGCTCCGGCCGCGGCGGGAGAAACCATTGCCTGGCGCGTTAATGGGTCACGATCTGTCAAAACATTTCTATTGATCTTTCTCCCTCCCGCTTGTGCCGATCTATGCTTCGTCTTGTTCCCTCTTCTCCGCCTCTCCCCCCCCCTCTCTCTCTCTCTCTCTCTCTCTCTCCTCTCTTTTTCTCTCCCTCTCTCTCTTTCCCCCTCTCTTTTTCCCCTCTCTCTCCCTCTCTCGCTCTCCTCCTCTCTTTCTCTCCCCCCTCTCTCCCTCTTTTTCTCTCCCTCTCTTTCTCTCCCCCTCTTTCTCTTTCTTCCTCTTTTTTCTTTCCCTCCTTCCTATCCCTCCTTTAGAATCTCTCTACCTTCTATCACGATGTGATAACGTGACCTTGAGCCTCCGTCATACCTTATTATGTCATGTCATGGTGGGCGTGTCTGCAGACTTCTACTGTCAAGCAAGAAAGCAGAAAAAACACTATGGCGTGTTCAACAGTCCCATTCTTCTTCTTGTCTCCTGATCAGGCCCTGATCTGCCCCATCTGAACTTTCCATCGTCCATTCATGGGATATCTCTCCGTCGGTCTGTCTGGCTCTCTGTCCGTTCTCCTGTTTGTGTCACCCCTGTTTTGCTGGCGTCCCACCAAACCGTCTATAAGATTATACTTTTGAATCCGCCTCAAATATTTTGGCGATTTTTAGTCAAACAGTGAGTAGTACATTGTTGTTATGACTTATGAGAGTGCCAAACATGTGTCAATAATAAAGCCAGAAGCCTGAATTCAACTCCAACCGCAGACAGCATAAATACATTCATGAGGCGAGTTCGAATACGGCGCGGCTGGGCCGCCGCACCGCGCGAGGCTAGGCCCGACCGGACCGAACTGGACCGGGCGGGACCGGACCAGTCCGCGCTCCGACCGTCGCTCTGGGGCACTGGGCCGCGCGGGGGCGCGGGCGGGATCCGGGGCGCCCGTCTCCCCGGCCCCCGACCGACCGATAGCATCTCGACGGGCGCTCTCCGCGCTCCCGTCCAACCTAACGAGCTAGAATTAATTCGAACTCTGACATCGATAGCGAACGGATCCAAGGTGACCCGACGGGGCGAGACGTGACCGGAGTTGTGAGGGCCGTGGACGGGGGTCGACCCGCTGACCGGACGCCGCGTGCTGCAGGGCAGGTCACGGGGGCCGCCCCGGGAATGAATTCCTACCGGTGGTTTGTGCGATGCAGCCCATGTCAAGGCGCTGCCCGTTGCTTACAGGCGGCGTCCCGCCTGGTAACAGGGCTATTGCTCGCTGACAATATTCCACTAGAGGCGCAGCCAGGACTTTCTTACCGGGGAGCTCGGCGAGAACGCATCGCGCTGATCGCCTAACGTTCTGTCGGGAGCCATCTACGGCGAAAACAGAAAAAATGTGGATCTTGGGGAGAGGAGAAAGGGCTTGCCCGCGGGCCCCACCCAAGGCTGCGCCTCCGTATTCCACGGTGACCTCTGCCCATAGGTGCAGAAGCGGAATAGCCAGGAGGCCGTGACTCTTCCAGACCTCGTGAAGGCTAAACGTCAGCCCTATGGTTATGCATGGAAGGAGTTTTAAGGGTTCTAAACGGGCGTCGGTGCTGCCACTGGGGTCGTCCTTCAGCCCGTGTCTGGCCGCCGCCCTGCTGCCCACTGTCGGCATACCCCGTGACCAGGGCCGCCGTTTGACGTACAATGCTGTCTTGTCACGACTTCTGGGCCAGGGGCATAGATGGGAGACCATAGTGACGGGCTAGATCCTTGAAATGCTAATTAGATGTATTCTCCAGTTTCGGGCGACTTCGGTCGGTTCTGCTTTGTACTATGCGGGCGTCTTCCACAACAGGTATGCTAACCGTAGCAAATTTAGATAGGTTTCGACAGATTTCGATAGGATAGGTTTCGGGACAAGCCAACAGTTGGGAACAGTATTTTGCCAACAGTTGGGAACTGTGGTGCGTTCGGAACCATTACGCCCTCTACGTCCGTGCGTGTCTCGTCGCGGCTTGCTCACTCATGGCTGTGTTCTAAAATACACGTCGGGCACCGCTGGACGTGTCCAGCGGGTTTTCACCGAGCGGATAAAAGAGCTCGGTGAAAGGGTGAAAAGCGAATCAATTCCCCTCCAGACCCATCGAGTCCGAAAATAAACTGAGGCGAGCGCATCGGCTGAGTCATCGACGAATAGGCCTGAAAAGAGACGCGACTCCAGCAGATGGCCTCCATCCGACAGCGCGTGAAAACCGCGAATGAGCCGACACTGACACAGCGGTGTCAGTCACGTGCAGACGGCGCGCGCCGCGCCGGCCACTCACGGGTTGACCCCCAGTCCGGGTGGGCCATGTTGTTGTACCAGCCATCGTAGCGCTGCTTCTCCACCCGAGTGGGCCTCCGCTCCTGACCTGAAAGAGAACACGATATATTTATTCCGACTGATATATATGCGGCCGCTGCGACGGTTTTTACGCTTAGCAACATAGCTATCGGGCAACGACTCTGAAAAACTTGAAGTGCCAACTGTAAAAGGAGAAAAACCGGCATCGGGTTATTAACGAGAGATGCACCGAACCAAACAGCACCGGGTGTACACCAGGATAATTTGTTTTGGAGTACAAGTACCGTGCTCCAGGCCAAACATCATTGGTTTGCATGCTTCTGACAGTTTTGCGTAACACATTTGCTTTGTCCAGTTTCCAGGCGTTGAGGTTTTGTCGGTTGCGTGGGCATGATCTCTGCCTCATGAATCACTGCAACTTCTCCTCTGCCATGTCCAAGAGGAACACATTTCTTTCACGAATAGAACAAACGGCGAGGCCAGCAGGAAGCGTATCACAAATGCCGGGGAGCGGCTGTGGCTGGTCTGGGACGGGGCCAAGAATTGCAAAGAGGAGAAGGGGTCTAGGATTTTTGGGACTTAATCCCAGTCCCACTTACAGTACCCCGCACTGCAAACAGACTACAGGCACCACAAACTCCAATATGTACAATATTTAACGCATTAATAGTATATCATGTTAGTTTGACCTCACACCGAATGATCTCTGTCACTGTTCATGGCAGTCAATGAGACGCTAAGCCAAACTGATCTTCCTGATTATAAGATTGCCGAATAAGATTCAGCAGCGTTGTGGCGAAAAAAGATTGTATTCGATCCTGTCTTGAGGAGAGGACTAAAACTCAATGAACTTTCTCTCCCTTTGGGCTGCGTTCCTGTGGATACCGCATTCATACAAATAGCGATCAGCAAGCCCATCTGCATTTTAATTCCAAGGCACCTGATGCTTCCACGCGACAAAGTCCTCACTTCCCCTCCCTACAAGCCATGTGCGGGTCGGGTCCCATGGCCGTTCAAAGACGCCGCCGCCTGACCCTGGTGTCCCCGGCCGACCCCGGCGGCCCAAACAATGGCAGGCCGGCGGGGGGTCGTGACCCGGACGCGGTCGGCACGAGGGCGGCTTGCGCGCCGGCCGCCCGGCACGTCCGTCGCTTGGTCGGCTTGAGCGCAGCACGTGCGCAGATCCCTGGCGTCGCCCGTTATCACAGGGGGAAGCGGAAGCGCGCGATACACAATGGGTCGAGGGGAACAGCATCATTCGAATATTACGTAACGGTCACAGAACCGGTGAAAGTGATCTGTCACGCAAGTGCGCCCATAAAGACGGAATGTGTGTCTCGTCACACTCGCAGGTGTGACCGTGCGACCGGGTGACCGCTTCCGCGTCCCGGAAACCTTGGACGTGCATGACTGACGTTCTTGGTTGGGACTGGCCGTCTGGAGGTTGCGCGAAAACACGGCTTGAATGAAACGCTTGCTCGGAAATGCCTCGGCCTCGGGAGGTCACCGCCAGTGCTCAAAGGGCGTGTCCGGATGTGCATGATATACACGGCGTTTGTGGTCCAGGTGGACACAGTGACGTGAAAATGTTCATGCTTTTACAGCACCTCCACTGTTTGCCAGATATTCCATGGCCCATTTAATTCCATCGCCCATCAATTTCATCCCATCTGATGAAGGGATGCATATTAAACGTTATCAGCAATGGATCAAATGGATGGACAAACAAAACTAAAACAAATGCCGACGATCTCGCCGCATGCGTTACCGTTACATGGTCAATTCACCCAAAAGTAGGCCTGAATGGTTGCTTCAAGCATGGATAGGAATTTATGTTTTTGGATAGCATGAACTCCAAGCTTGCTTCCGTACATAGACAGCGATTACCAGCCAACCACATTCGATCCTTGGCGGAAAGCAGCCGGCCAAAGCTCACAACCTACATACACTTTGGCATATAGACAATGATTACCAGCCAGCCGCATCCCATCCTTGGCGGAAAGCAGCCGGTCAAGGCTCACAACCTACATGCACTTTGGCATATACAGTATTTATGTGTTTGCAAATATACCATCGGACGAGATCTCTGCTGCTGTCCCTGCTGATCTCTGCATTCAGTCTTCGTTCCTGAATTACCTCATGCCGAGGTGAGAATAGAGGTTGAAAACCTTCCTGGTTGCGATTTTAGCTGTGTGGCACAGTCACGATCCAACACTGACCCTGGCCGCCGCCGCTCCACAAAGGCACTCTGCAGGGGTTCAGTTGCAGAACGTGGAATGGCCGCATAATATACCCGTAACTGAGTCTTTGTCCGACTACGTGCAAGCAAGTAAATCTACAGAAGGGTTGAGATAAGATGGTTTGTTACACATCTCGAACGATTTGTTGCAATTCATTGCAAGCCCTGTTTAGGTATCCCATACCTGCACCAATTGCATGTCGTCGTTGCATTTTGAAGGCCGTCATTTACAGTCTGCAAGAGCAAAGCATAGCCACATATATATGACAAGGGAGTGGTTTCCGTAAGTCAGTGGAATGGGCTGGGCTAGAAGCAGGTTACGCGAGTGCGCTGTGCTGAAACCGACACTGTGCACCTTTTAGCTATGCGCAGCATCCAGATTTCTTTCAGATTTTAAATGGAAATAGTCATCCTTGTAACCTGGTTCATGGTCTTTTGTATCACCGCGTGTTCAAACCGGGTTTACTGGGCAGCAATAAAACAAAATAGGCAGCACAGCCATCCATAACCAACAACGGACTGAGCTTAAAGCGTAAACCGGGCGAGTTCCGTTCCAAATGACTAGCCAAGCAGCAAGCGTCATAAACTGCACGTCAAGTCATCGGCTAGAAAGGACGCAGCCATTTCAGGCGCGTGGTCGCCTCTGCCCGGACACAGCCTGCCCGGTCTGTGGCTGAGCGCCCGCTGCCGCCAGACAGGACGCAGCCATCACAGGCACGTGGTCGCCTCTGCCCGGACACAGCGCGCTTGGTCTGTGTCTGAGCGCCCGCTGCCGCCAGGCAGGACGCCCCGTGGCTCCGGCAGAGGCCCAGCTCGCCGCGTGTGTCACCGGGTGAGGTGGAGGGAGGGAGTGGGGGCGGGGTGGCGAGGGAGTGACCGTCGAGTGTGCCGACCCAGGCCCGCCGCCGCTGGCGCTCACAGACTGCGGGCCGCTCCCAGCAGGGCGCGTCTGATTACTGGCCGACTTTGACACCGCCGCGGTGTGATTGCAGCAGACGCACTAAACCGACTGAGAGGCGTCATTACGCAGATTACGCCGGCGGCTAATTGCGGGAGGCCACCGCACTCGGCCAGCCCTGTCTGCACGAGGAGGGAGTGTGTGACGTCATTATTGCGGCCTGCACACGGCGCTGGGTTAATGCGATCATTTAAAGAGGCGGCGTGGCGTAAGAGGAATCCGATTGGCGGATGATTGGCTTCGTGCTTCTGTAGAGGTTGCAAATCTCCAAAATTGGCGTGTAAGTCATGTAGCAAGCCATAAACCACACCACACACACCATCACACCCATCCACCCAACCACCCACCCACACAGCCACCCACCCACACACACATGCACACACACACACGCACACGCACACACACACACACACACACACACACACACACACACACACACACACACACACACACACACACACACACACACACACACACACACACACAAACGCATATATTTGTATATATATATATATATATATATATATATATATATATATATATAAAGGCTCGCAGATATTGGAACGACACGTACAACGAAGTCTATGCCACACCTGGGATTTTTGTTCCTCGCAGGAACCCTATTTTTACATGCCCGTTCGGCCTAACAGCCCGATGGCTGGCGTGTACAAACGGAGATTTCTATTGACGTAGCTCGACCTTTCTGGTCGTCAGTGGGAGCTTGGTCAGACCCGTCGAGTCGTTCGGGATAAGGTCTGCGCAAAGTTTCACCTTCGGACGGAAACTGAAAGTAGGACAACTGGTTCGACTACCCGCTCATCCAGTGCGTCCTCAGAATGCCGTTCCTGCCGACCCAGATTTTGTTCGGTGACTATAGCGGGGTTGTCTGCAGCGACCGGTTGGCTGCGTGGCTGTTATGCGTGGCGCACGGAGGCTTGACCTTGCTGATGTACATACTCTGGGACTCTGGGGTTCTCAATCCGCCGGCACGTTGTCACAGTGTGCTGACAGTCAGCAGCTTGGAAGCCTGACAAGCTGACTTTACAACTTGACAGCAACTGGCTGCTGGACGTCATTCTGTTCATCTGGTAACCTGCATGTCCGAGTGGCAGGCCATACACTTGGCAAGGGAACACTCTACGAGACAACCATAAGACCACTACACACATAACTTTCGGATCTCGCACGAAATGGCCTCTGTATAAGCATCAGGGACACATAACAGCCGCCACCAGCGGCGCGGACATCGTGCAAACACGGGCGCGAGGCGCAACATCAGCTCGACTAGGTGTCGCGCACGTCGAACTGGCCCGCCCGAGTCGGCACGGCGCGGGGTTCACCAGAGGCGGCTGCGCCGTGTAACGAGGCTTCTCTGTCGCGCGCCGCGCCTTATCGGTCGGTGGGCGGGCGCCGTTCGGGCCCGCCAGTCGATGGGTGGGCTTGAAATCGGGACGTAGATCAGAAGGGTGCAGGCCCAATCTGGTGCATTATGATCGTCACGCACGAGCGGTCAGCAGGGAGGGCCGAGGCGAGTCACCAGCCGCCACGACATGTGTCGTCTGTAGGGCGTATCATTCACGGGCGGAGATCCGTGGTTAAGCGTGCGCGACAGACATCTTGTGACACTGCGGCACCTGTGTGATGGAGCGGCATCGGGTGTGTTATTTTAGCAGTATATCGCTTTTAACTGGTTTTTCTCGAGGGTTTCGAAATATAGAAAGCTATCGACAAAACCAATTATTGAATGCCACAGATTTTGAGCCATCTGCGCCACTATTCTCGGACCCAAAAGCCCCATCGGTGGCTCCTGCATGATAAGATAGATTATCCCAGCCAATCTTCTTCAATTATTGGCCGATCGCGGACTCTG